ATGCCAAGGAACAAGAAAAATATTTTGAAGGAATTTCTAGGCTTTTATTTAATGCATTATTAATTGGCGAGCGGGAGCGACCCAACCTAGTCTTCTTTCCTTCGAGCGGAATTTTCTGCGTTCGTACGTCGTGTAAGTGCGCATGCGCATCTTTGTACGCGCTTCTTTTTATCCGAAATTATTTCAACTCTCCTCCATTAATTCGACGCTCGAATCTGACCGAAGCTATAGAGCTGTATATATATACCTCTTCCCAATCTTCATGGTTCCAAGGAACTTGCATAATACGCTAGGGCACATACTGCTGCATGCCAGTTGCCAGGTGGACCACGACTGACGAGCTGAAAGCGTAAGGTCAGTATATACCGTTCTGCTCACCTGCTCACCGCTCTGGCAATATACAGTACGCATGTAACGGCGACAGGTAGATCTGTCTTGCTTCACGAAAAGAAACCAGTGCGCTGACGGCACGTTATGCAGCCCGAACATCGCAGTCAAATCCCAAGTTGGGTCGCTCCCGCTCGCCAACAATGTTCAACATTTCCACTAGTATAAATTATTCATAAGTTCAGGTCCCATAAAGAGGGAAAATGCGCATTAAATAGAGGTCGCGCATATGCGTGCGTAGCGCAGCTCCGTGGATTCCGCGTGTCCACGACGAACGAAAACGGGCTTTTCTGCGCATGCACTCGACAATGATGAGTCAGCGCAACCAGGAAAACGCTCAATAGTCTTTTCCTCTCTTGAGGGCTAGGGCGGGGTCTGGGCACGAGACTAATACGGCTATATTATACCAGCAGCATAGTTGCGAAAACATACGAGCATAATTCGCCAATGCCTATAATTATAATGCCGTCCACTTACCGGGTCAAAGTTCAACGGATAGCTAGAGCTCTGTGAAATGACTGAATTAGCATCTAATACGATTGCTTCGCTGCCCGGCGCACAACCAGGACCGAGTGGCGGGAAGGGCGAGAAAAGCAGTTCAGATGAAGGCAGTGATGTATCCATTCAGCCCAAGGATTTCTTCTGGGATCAGTCTATCAAGTACCTGTCGTCCATCATGGCACTTCTAACAGTGCTGGACGTCACGCTCCAGTTCTTCCGTGGAGGTGGACCCATATGTATGGTTCCAGGTACCATAGAGGGGCGAGACAACGTTACCTTGGAGGTAACTCGAGACCAGGCGGCCTTTATAAACACTCTTTGCCAACGTAGCCTCTCACGTGCCGAGTATTACCCTTTCTTTGTTTTGATTCAAGGGGTCGTTTTAGTAGCCCCACATTTTATTTGGGAAGCTCTATTCTTGGGTCAGTTTGACTTTTTCTTTAGTATTGTCCGGCAATTGGACAGGCTTCGTAGCAGGGATACCGGCAAATATCGGGAAAAGAATTTCGATATTATTAAAAAAATTGATATGCAGTTTGGTGAGAAAATAATTTTTCCTTGCTATATTTTAAAACTGATTATGCAAGTTACTGTTGTTTTTGCTTCCATGATTGTTAATGAAGCTGTTTTCCAAAATAGTTATTTCAGTTTCACATATGAGTGCTCTGTAAGTATTAACCCACCTCCACAGGGTTGGTTGTTACCTTTTGATGTATCATGTGTCTATTCATCGTTTCGTCTTTATGAGAAACTTAAGTATATCAACCTTTCTCTACTCTTTTTTGCACTTTTGTTAATTTTGTATGCCATTTTTTGGTGTATGACTCGGCACGTCGAGGCCCTTGGCTCCAAGGATGTGGCTCAGTTTGCATTTGAATCTGGTCTGCGACCCACTGACTATGTTGAGGAAAGGTTCTGGTCTAATGACATGGACTTTCTCATTATGCGACTCTTTCGTGCTGACCCTGGTCATGGATACGTTTTCAAGGATATTCAGGTATTTAGCTATAAATAATAATTAATGATGTGTTTGGTGGCCATTAATATAGGTTGAAGCTGAGCTTAGGAATTTGACTGAAGCAGACCATGAATCCTCCCAGCTTAATGTACCATCTGATGATAAAAATGATGATAGGGTATTAATTTAATATCTTTTTGTCTGTCATCATGTGTCTTTCCTTTGATGCAGTTAGATGAATTCATCAGTAATAAGTTTAATATGCTTCGTGGAATATTAAACTTCACTACCCTTACAGTTGACATATCTTTTGGTTCTGTTGGCTACAGTCGAATTTTGACCAGGAAGTTTGATCAAGTAAAGTGTATATGCAATGCCACTTTAAATATTGTTGAAATTTCTTTAACCAGGTTATTTCAGTAAACTTTGACCCTTTCTACGCAAATGAAAAAGAGCTTTTTCATAGAGCTCGATTCCGTGGAATTGATGTTGTAACACTTCCAGAGTACTTTTATGCCAAAGAAACATTTCAATATGATCAGGTTGGACTATTATTACCGTGGTGCCATTTTTACGGCCTTTATAATACCAGAAAGATGAATGAATTAATGCCGCGTTTGAAGATCCCTTGATAAAAGTATGATGAAAAAGATCTCCCTCATCATTGTAGGCCAATTTACTGAACAAAGGATGCTCTCAACAGGTTTTTGTTGTAACATCTACTTTGAGATAATTATTTTGCTATTTTCTCCATGATACAATAGTTAACCTGTTCCTTGAGCAGCAAAAGAATAGATATGCTCCAGCGTGTGTACTGATGCATATCCGGCCAACTGTTATTGGTCATAGACGTACTAACGTTACGATTTTATACCACCTAGGTGAGGCAGAGTATAGGTGTAGCTATTGTACGTAATTTTTTCCATTTTCTTTTCACCCAGTTTCTTCACACATAAGAAGGTTGGACCATATTTGTTTAAAAATCTACACCGTAGTTTCAACCTTGGCAAGATACTGTGCGAATTTTTGATTGATGTTTATGAATACAATATGGACTCTAGGCTGACTACTAAGAGTACATGTAATTTTACACTCCATTGAAGTTGGGTTGGATAATGCCGTGGAAGTGTAAAGTGTATATTGCTGGAAAATCTTACTTCAATATGGCAGCATTGTAAATGTATATATGTACTACAAGTGTAACAAACGCATGTTTTCATGCCATACTCTAAAACAAGTGACGATACCTACAGAAAATGACAGTGGTAATGACACTAACAACTACAGTAATAGAGATGATCCCTGCAATTAGTACGATGAGTGAGCCAATCCTTGGTCTTTCTTCATCATCACCGTCTGTGTCAAAAGCGTAAAACATCAAACATTTGAGGAAAATAAATTTTGTGTTTTGGGTAGAAAAATGTGAATTTGGCAGAAGAAAACTTTTTACTTACAGCTAAACCGTAAAAAGTTTTCTCCATCAAGAGCTTTTCACTATAATTATAAGGTAAAATGCAAGGCAGGTGTAAGAACACTATGACAAATCCGTCTACAGCGGAATCTACGAGAAGGTATATACCCTCCGAGATAGGGACGACCTCTCTACAAAGGACACTTGTTTCAACCCCATGCTAATACTTTAGTGTATTATTTGACCTCCGAGATAGGGACGACCTCTCTACAAAGGACACTTGTTTCAACCCCATGCTAATACTTTAGTGTATTATTTGACCTCCGAGATAGGGATGACCTCTCTACAAAGGACACTTGTTTCAACCCCATGCTAATACTTTAGTGTATTATTTGACCTCCGAGATAGGGACGACCTCTCTACAAGGGACACTTGTTTCAACCCCATGCTAATACTTTAGTGTATTATTTGACCTCCGAGATAGGGATGACCTCTCTACAAAGGACACTTGTTTCAACCCCATGCTAATACTTTAGTGTATTATTTGACCTCCGAGATAGGGACGACCTCTCTACAAGGGACACTTGTTTCAACCCCATGCTAATACTTTAGTGTATTATTTGACTCCGAGATAGGGACGACCTCCACAAAATCGTTGGCCCCATAGTGTCCTTGGTCAGAGGTTTGACTGTACACATAATTACTCTTCAAGCATCAAGACAACATGCTACACTAACCCTGACAGAAGGTCCCACCATATCCTTTAGGGCAGGAGCAGAAGTGGTCCCTCACATGTCTGTAGCATGTTCCTCCATTTTCACAGGGATCCCTCTCACATTCTGACAGTACTGCAGGAATCATGATACACACACACACACCCTACGGATGGCTTTTACTTTTAGTCTCACAAGTTAACGAAATTTCCACTCAATGACATGTAGATAATACCATGTGATGCCAAGAGAAAAAAGAAGTGGAGCTCTGGACAGCTGTTTCGGGCTTGTTGGCTCTCATCAGCAGAGCATACCGCAACTTCCCTCTCTGGCATCACGAGTTATAAAGGCTGACATGAGCGCAACACTTGTGGTTCTGAACTAATGAGATTCATCCCCACAAGGCTGTACTCTACCATATAGCTACACATGTGCACATGAGTATTAAGCACATTTCCAGCAAGCTATATATAGCTAGCACACTTTGCACAAAGTGATGGCATATATATGAGCATTCGGGAGCAGAGGTTGCAATGCAAAGAGCGTATAGTGCACATCTTGTTTCCAGTGGCTCATACGTGCAGACCTACACCCATGGATTACATTGAGCTATATAGGAACTGTTAAAGCTCACTAATCTTAACTTTGAGCATTCACCTCTCTGAGTACATCTCTGTCCAGAAAAGCCCTCTCCACAGTAGCATGTGTTGGACACACAGGCCCCGTTCTCACATCCAAAGTCACACACAACTGCACACAGAGAGGCAAAAGTCCCATATTCCGTGAAGATCTTAAATCCTTGTGTTCTTTAGTTTGTCATTGTCGCTCACACTACCATGTCACACCAGAAAACATGCAGTGGAATCTCAGAAAAAGGTTGCTCAGATCTAGGAAACCTCTGAATAAAGGACTCAATTAGTCAGGGATTTACTCCAAAAATGGCTCTATTCAAAAGACCTTCTTATTATCTGACATGCAACCATTATCAAGCCTGGAACATCATTATGTTCTCAGACACTGTTAGCAGATACTTATAATTATACTGTAGTATTTAACACTTTGGATGCCATAGGTATCTCCTTTAATAAGCATAAATTGATGTAGAACATATTAACGCGCCTAGTATTATAAAAATTCTTAAGGACTTATGGAGGCTCTGGGCATATATGCCCATGGCTGGCTAAGGGTTAAACTTGTGGCAACTGACTTGGAACCATTAGCTCCAGTATCTCTCTGATCTGGAGGTTTGCCTGGTCATTAGTGGCATCAGCACTGTTCACTCTTCCAGTGAGTGCTGCATAGAATAGACAATCTCTGTCTCCCTCACACACTTCCACTGCTCCCTCCTCCACATCAGTAGAGTTGCGGTGGGCAGAGTAGTTGTAGTTGGGGGTAAAGTATGGGTCATAGTATGTGGCCCACGATCTCCCAGTGTCGTAGGTAAAGAGACTTTCTTCCGGGCTCCCTACTATCCCTGTGGGTTGGAGGGAAATGAGACAGCTGAAGCAGTAAGCAATAATAAAACTCTACGTGAGGTGTTAATCAGAGAAAAAACGATGCACGAAACTTTACTGGGAGCTAACAATTGTTCAGTAAAAAACTTTTAAGGACACGGTAATAGAGTGGTGCTGGAAAAGGACATAAAACATTGGTCACACAAAAGGGTTTAAAATATACAGTAGAGCAAAGGAAAAAGGAAGGTTCTACCGAGATTCGAACTCGGATCTTGGGATTCAGAGTCCCAGGTGCTAACCATTACACCATAGAACCACTTCTTGCTTGAGGATTCTTCTTAGCTTTGTAGCTATATGGAGCACAGTGAAACCTTTGAATATCCTCAGGGGGCATTGAAAGTGTTCAGAGGTAATAATAATATGATGTATTAGTACGGGGTAGAACTGAGTGTCCCTTACAGAGAGATGACCTCTATTCGAAGGGTTCTTTTCGGAGGTATCACTGTATGCCTTCAGGGGGCAAAGGATATACAATACATATCTCCTCACATGTAATTCCAAATTTCCAGTGTATATCATGAAGTGAAGAGTTGTGTGGCAGAGAAATTTCTGAGTATCTTGGGAGAAAATCATCTGATGAATCTTTATTATAGGGGCCCAGCAATCCCTTTGTGCTTCGTTTTTGAGCGTATCTTTCTGGGAGACTTACTGCCAGCAAAGAGAGAAGTGAGTTAGTGCTGCGAACTTCAATTCTTGCTCCGGTTGTGAATGTAGCAGCGAGTGTGTTAGGAGCACGACTGGAGATTGCGACATTTCTAAATTGCATCTCGTCTGATAGGACTTGGTGCACTCTGCCATTGACACGGAGTTTCAAATCACCACCGACCACCTCAAATTGCACAGTATCTGCCCCAGGCTCACTAGCCACTACTGCAGTGAGAACTGTAGCCCCTTTTCCACTAGACTCCAACTGAAATGAGAACTCTTCTTGTTCAGCTATTTCTGTCATTCTTCCCTGAAGTGTGAAGCTTCTGTCGTCCGATGTGATGAGAATAAACTCTCCCCTCCCATTGAATGTGTAGCTGTGGCCGTCCAGTGTCACTAGGTGTGAGTCACCAAACACCAAACCTAGCATCGAGAAAGAGACAGTTGGCAGTCATTCTCACACTAGAGAAAAGTCTTACAGTTAGCTTGTACTTACCCAGATACACACACATTGAATGATAATTGTATGGTGATAAAGCTTGCAAGTTACAAGACAGCAACTGGTATACTGAACGGTGTCCCACTCTATAATGTTATTGGAAGCCGGCAGCTACAAGCTGGTGGTGACTGATACAGTGAAACCTCCGAAAATGACCCTTAGAGTAAAGTACACAACTCTCTAAAGACAGTTGGTTTTGTCCCCTCTTAATACATAAAAAAAGGAGACACCTCTGATGCTTTCAATGATCCCAATATGTTCCTTATTCAACATTTCACTCTCTGGTGTATAGCTATTATGTACCTGGTAGTGTGGGAGGTAGAGAGGTGGAGCAGTCGTCAGAGGGTCTGTGGTGGTAGTAGCTCCCACACTGAGAGTAAGGTCCAGCCTCACAGCACATCCACTGGGGAACCACATCGTCTCTCAGGTGAGCGAGAAAGTCGACGTCAGGTGAGACCAGGTCTGGAGTCCCTCCGCTAGCCGGGCCGACAATGAGGTAACCCCTGTCGTTATAGCAACACTGCTGCCCCGAGCGTCTGTTTGAAGACCTGTATGTATAGTTGAGGAGTTAATTGTGGTAACTTTTCTGTGAAACACTGATAGAGATTGGGAGTTTATAGTTTAGTCACCTCTTGCCGTTTTGCCTGCCCATTTCACCTGTGTGCATGTTTGGCACAAAAAAATACAGCCTGGTTCACGAGTAGATTTTTTTAAATCTCTCATCCTACATGAAATGCTGTTGAACTTGTTGAAAATCAACAGAGAAAACAAGGTTTCATATCATGTTTTCATGTTACTTTTGTTAGCTCACGAGGTTCATATGAGAAATCAGGAACCTCGTACTAACAAATCTGATTTGTCGATTCGAATCAGCTATGCACTAAAATATAGGTCAGACCACAGTCCCTGGGTCAATACAGGCCAGGACACAATCCCTACAGTCCCAAGGTCAATACAGGTCAGGACACAATCCATAGGTCATTACAGGTCAGGCCACAGTCCCTAGGTCAATACAGGTCAGGCCACCTTCAATACAGGTTAATACAGGTCAGGTCACAATCCCTAGGTCATTACAGGTCAGGCCACCTTCAATACAGGTTAATACAGGTCAGGCCACAGTCCCTAGGTCAATACAGGTCAGGCCACCTTCAATACAGGTTAATACAGGTCAGGCCACAGTCCCTAGGTCAATACAGGTCAGGCCACAATCCATAGGTCATTACAGGTCAGGGCACAGTCCCTAGGAAAAAAATATTGTGTTCGCAGTAACATATGACTTCGGTAGCTTGGGAAGTGTGTGTATGATGTAGCTATAGCATGATGGACGTGCATTGCTGCTTACAGAAAAGTGTTGCTCTGTCGGTAGCAAACTGAGGCGTTCTTGTGCAACAATCGCTGGTATGAGTCATCAACCAGCTGCAGCCTCTGACCATCTCCTGCTCTTTCCCAGGAATGGGGTGAGTTGGAAAGTGGTGGCATAGAAAAAGAGAAGAAAGTGTCCCTCTTAAAGCCACTGTTGGGTAGGGCTGCACGCTTCTCAGTACAGGGACAAGGCGGCAGACTCCTCTTCAGTCTTTGCCCAACTCCAAGGACTTGGTTATCTGCCCACTGACGACATTTCCGACTCCTTTCAAATTCACTCCCTGACAGATCGAGTAGCCTTACGGAGGAATGCTTGCCAACAACAAGACCTTTGCAGTCATTGCTGAGATGCGAACAGTTCCCTAATACGGAGTCAGGGGAAGGAAAGTTCGCCCCCACTTGTATAACCATTGGAAGTAGGGGTAACTCATGTTTGCTACGATCAGAGAGGAGTGTAGCTGGTATGGTGACACTAGCTGTGCCACTGTTGGCCAACTCGGACACTATCGGAACAATAATGCTAAACAGGTTTGTATGTGTGTCCAACAGACGCAGTGTTACGTCAACAGTGGTGGAGGTAGTGTTGAAGAAGAAGGGGGGAAACAGAGTGGGCAGCCAGCGAACTGTGACAACACTGCCCCTCTCCAGGACTGGGCCACCGTCAGTAGTCTCTGTGACAACTCCAAATCCACTTTTTAGGGGAACTGCACAAAGTTTAAGATAGGCAAGTGTGTATCTATCAAGGGCACAAAACCAACAAATTAACTGCAGTTTAAACTTTAGCGCTTAAAATGCAGTTACAGTTTGCTCAACATGTAAAGCTATCTATATATACTGGGCTTTGCGCGTAGCAAATTTCCAAGTAATTTCATGGTGTTCACAGTATATTACAATTGCGAGAAGCTGTGGTCTTCCATCCATCAAGTTTTTGGTCTAGCTAACGTGTAGTTAATGTGTACTTTTGGTGTTGTGTCTAAAGCTTACTGCTCATGTAGCCTGAAGTGGCTCTCAGCACACTCCTCACTGGAGATCTATCAATGGTGATCGTGAAGTCCACCACTCCAGTCAGCCTGAGCTCTGGAGACACACACAGAGCAGTGGAGCTGTTGATGAAGACTGCCTTCACTGGGTGGCCAGCAAACAGACAGGTAATGTTGTCCATTGGATGGAAGGAGACTGCGGTGCTACTGATTGTGACCAAGTGAGCTGTTCCTCCTAGTTGGCTCCCGTGGGATGGAGACAGGGTAATGGCACCTGCATGGAACATTGATAAGTCACTCCACTAGCCTTGCCGCTGTGGTATACACCAAGAGTGTTTCAAAATACAGTGCAATGCCCCACCGCAGGGTAAATCCTTTTTTTATTGACAGGGCAATTGTGAACCTAGCCTTTTTGAGTATGAGTATACAGTATAATTATTGTGGTGGTGCCTTACACAAAAAAAGGCTAATACACATCACATAGCATGTTGTAAGTGGGAACCTTGACTGGCTTATTATATACACATTGTGTGTTCCGATATAGCTACTACTTTTTGTAAGTGTGCTGCTTAGCCTCAGTGTTCTTACTGGTATATACGTGTGTGCAGTTTAGATACGTAGATAGTAAGAGGTTGTTTACAATCAGCATGTAGCTCTGGCTCACCATCATCATCTGTTATTGTGATGACAGTATTAGGAAATGGGGTGAGAACCGCATCATCTCCGCCGGTAAGATAGAGATATATCGTCTCTCTCTCCTTCTCCACCTCTTGGTCATCGGTGATGACAATATCCACTGATTTCTCCACCTCCCCGGGCTCAAACACAACCAGCTCTATCACCTGGGAATAGTCCTGGCCCTCTGTACAGTTTTCAAAGTACACACAGTATTCAGTTATAAATAATTACACTCTTCTTTTGCATGTGTAGCTATTGAAAAGCATGGTAGATGCTTTTCTTCATTGTTGGGTGGGTTAAACCCAGTTATGTTCAACTCACTTGTGTTTGTGTGAGCAACACAATGCTCTATATCATCCAGCCAAGGTAATTATCATTGTTACATAATATGCTATCACTATAATTATGAGCTTATTTCTTTGATATGCTAATTGATTGAGGTTTAACCCATCTTGTATGGTATTGTTTTAGTACATCATTGCATAATAGCCTATAAACTTTAGGAAGCTGCCAAACCTGTAGCTGAGCTCTCTAAGGCTCTGCTCTGTACCATCACAACACTCTGCTCCTGTGTCCTCCTCGAACGTAGGACAGAGACCTGTATTATCCCACTGCTCTCACTGACTGCATACTCACACCGAGCAAAACTGATGACGACCCCTGCAATTATTGAACATTGAACAACAGTGCGAGTGATGTGTGGTTAGCTACATACATAAATCCAAACACAATCTTCTTTTCCCTGAGAATACCTATTCCTTATCATTTGCATATTCTTAAAAAATAGTTCACGCAAAAATCTATGACAAAATGGTGACCCTGTATGCCAAAACTGGAGGAACTTGGCATTTTGAATAGTTCAGATAATAATATAATGGGCTAGTGAAATCTACAGAGTCACAACCAATAGGTATACTCTATAACTTACTGTTGCTAGGGATGAACTGCAAGCCTGCTGGGTGCCCATATGAGTTAAACGTGTCAAATCCATACACCAAAACTCCGATGAATGAAACAGCATTGGAGTGGTACACAGTATGATCTCCTTCACCCAGTTGTACATACGTGGCATACCCACAGACCCTCTCATTAGGGCAGTAGATTGGATTCCACACAGCGTCTTCCAAATTAATCTCATCTACAAACACCTTATTTGGCTGGAAAAACTCAATCGGAACGAGAATTTGTAACGAAATTGTATGAAAACCCCGACAGAGCACGGACGGTGAAGAAATTCCCGTACTGTGTCAGAGACGGAATAGTCATCATGAAGGGGTCCCCCACGTAATCGATCCTGTGAGCCAGTCCAAACTGGACCACCAGGAGTGGGGATTCTCCCTCAACTGAGCAGAAATATCCAGCCGGTAGATCCAACTCTTCCCAATCTCCAGCCTCGTCCATGTACAGTTGATAGCGATACCGCTCAAACTTGGTGGGGCTAGCGCAGAAGACGTC